GGGAAATGAAATTGGAGATTAGTGAGGCCGTGGCGCCAGGCACGCGCTTTCCGCTCGAGAGCGCGCACGATCCCGATGTGGGAAGCAACTCTTTACAAACCTACGAGCTGAGCCGAAATGAGTACTTTGCGCTTCGGGTGCAGACGCGGGAGGACAGCACCAAGTACGCGGAGCTGGTACTGGAGCGCGCCCTGGACCGGGAGCGAGAGCCGAGTCTCCAGTTGGTGCTGACAGCGTTGGATGGAGGAACCCCGGCTCGCTCCGCCAGCCTTCCTATTCGCATCACCGTGCTGGACGCGAATGACAATGCGCCCACCTTCAACCAGTCCTTGTACCGGGCGCGCGTCCCGGAGGATGCACCCCCCGGCACTCGCGTGGTGCAAGTCCGTGCAACCGATCTGGATGAAGGCCCCAATGGTGAAATCATTTACTCCTTCGGCAGCCATAACCGCGCCGGCGTGAGGGAACTATTCTCCTTAGACCTTGTAACCGGGGTGCTGACAATCAAAGGTCGACTGGACTTTGAAGACACTAAACTCCACGAGATTTACATACAGGCCAAAGACAAGGGTGCCAATCCCGAAGGAGCACATTGCAAAGTTTTGGTAGAGGTTGTGGACGTGAATGACAATGCCCCCGAGATCACAGTCACTTCCGTGTACAGCCCAGTCCCGGAGGATGCACCTCTAGGAACTGTCATCGCTTTGCTCAGTGTAACCGATCTGGATGCTGGGGAGAACGGGCTGGTGACTTGCGAGATTCCTCCAGGTCTCCCCTTCGGTCTTACTTCTTCCCTCAAGAATTACTTTACTTTGAAAACCAGCGCAGCCCTGGATCGGGAGACTGTGCCAGAATACAACCTCAGTATCACCGCTCGAGATGCGGGAGCCCCTTCCCTCTCAGCTCTTACGACAGTGCGGGTGCAAGTGTCTGACATCAACGACAACCCTCCACAATCTTCCCAATCTTCCTATGACGTTTACGTGGAAGAAAATAATCTCCCCGGGGTTCCAATACTAAATCTAAGTGTCTGGGACCCCGACGCCCCGCAGAATGCTCGCCTTTCCTTCTTTCTGTTGGAGCAAGGAGCTGAAACTGGGCTAGTGGGTCGCTATTTCACGATAAATCGTGATAATGGCGTCGTGTCATCCTTAGTGCCCCTGGACTACGAGGATAGGCGGGAGTTTGAATTAACAGCTCATATCAGCGACGGGGGCACTCCAGTTCTGACCGCCAACATCAGCGTAAACATATTTGTCACTGACCGCAACGACAACGCCCCCCAGGTCCTATACCCCCGGCCTGGGCGAAGCTCCGTGGAGATGCTGCCCCGAGGTACTGCTGCCGGCCACGTGGTCACGCGGGTGGTGGGCTGGGACCCGGATGCAGGGCACAATGCCTGGCTCTCCTACAGCCTCTTGGGAGCCCCCAACCAGAGCCTTTTTGCGGTGGGGCTTCACACAGGTCAAGTCAGCACTGCCCGCCCAGTCCAAGACACAGATTCACCCAGGCAAACTCTCACGGTCTTGATCAAAGACAATGGGGAGCCATCGCTGTCCACCACCGCAACCCTGACTGTGTCAGTAACCGAGGAATCTCCCGAAGCCCGGGCCGAGTTCCCCTCCGGCTCTGCCCCTAGGGAGCAGAATAAAAATCTCACCTTTTATCTACTCCTCTCTCTAATCCTGGTCTCTGTGGGGTTCGCAATCACAGTATTGGGAGTAATCATATTCAAAGTTTACAAATGGAAACAATCCAGGGACCTATACCGAGGCCCCGTGAGCTCCCTGTACCGAACACCGGGGCCCTCTCTGCACGCGGACGCTGTGCGGGGAGGCCTGGTGCCACCGCACCTTTACCATCAGGTGTACCTCACCACTGACTCGCGCCGCAGCGACCCGCTGCTGAAGAAACCTGGGGCGGCCAGCCCTCTGGCCAGCCGCCAGAACACGCTGCGGAGCTGCGATCCGGTGTTCTATAGGCAAGTTTTGGGTGCAGAGAGCTCCCCTCCCGGACAGGTAAGGGTTAGCAGGTCGTCCGGAACGATAATAATGCTTTTTGATTCTTGCACCGTGTTCAGAAAGGCATGGAGCCATTTTTTAGTGATGAAAATGTTTTTCTTCCTAATGATGCATCCACTTTTTCACCTGACCCAACCTACATCAAACTTCGTGCCTTTGTAAAGGGGATGGCCAGGTTAGAGTGTAGTTTATGATCTCATACATTTTGGAGTTGCTTCATTTGTGGACCTAATTCACGCCTTCAGCACTTGCTTGCCACAACAACTAACCAATCTTGCTAAGGGGCCATTAAACTATAATCCAAGATCTCAGCACTCAGAGCTTATCTTGGTGTTATTTGCATTAGGAACAAGTTGTTGGACACCTTCAACCAGTGGCAGCTACTAGAAATACAAAAACTACCTCATTTGTCTATCTTTCAAGTGATTGCCACATCTGCATTAAAACTAATGGTTGCTAATTATTTTCCTTTGTCTACACAGATCCCGTACCTCGTTCTTACACAATTTTCTATGAAAAGTAAAATTCTAGGGATCCTTTAAATTTTTTTCAAGAATACTACTGGAAGTGATGTGCACGTTACTTACAAAATATTTTTATGTTATAATAGTGATGCATATGCATCATAGAAAATTTGGAAAACAGAGAAAAGTATAAAGAAAAAATTAAAACTACAATCCCCCAATCCAAAGTTAACCATCATTAATTATAAAAGTAAAAGTAATCACTTGTTTTGAAACTAAATCCAGAGGATCCAAAAGAACATAAAGTACTAAATGAAAGTTTTTCTGTACCCGCCGTGTAATTCCCTGTCCATCCAGCATTATTTTTCTTAAGTATACACATAATGTGAAGGCTAGCTAAATTCATATCCTGAGAAAGGTGAAGCTTTCATTTATTCAGGATGGTGTGCAGGTGACTGCAAGGCCTTTGTCTTAGAGTGAAACTTACACACACTTCAGATGGTGAGAAAGCCACAATTTTGTTACTAATAAGTGTATGGTTGCTATTTACCTTCGGATTTGGCCGTTAGACAAATGAGGCTCTACCACTTACCAACTATGAATCCTTGGCCAAGTTAATCTTTCTAAGCCTGTTTCTTATATGCAAAAAGGGAATAAACGGTACTATAAGATTAGTACATGATATAATGTATACACAATCCCTGGTGTATCGTGTTAAAAAAAATTCTCAGCTATTACTATTACTATTTTTATTAGTTCCTTACCTACCCCAAATCTTAAACACGACCTTGGAAATAAGCAAATCTAGAGATAGCCAAAGATGACCAAGTAGAAGCATGTATGGAAAGGCTAAGGAAAGATGAAAGCCAGCGAAAAGCAGCTGCTACTCTTCTGGTAACACCGTGAAACAAATGGCACTTTCCCTAGGACAATATTCTCAAACTCGATTGCACGCTAGAATTACCTAAGGACCTTTTAAAAATTTTGAAGCCCAGGCCACATCCCAGACCAATTAAAGCACAATCTCTGGGGTTAGGACACAGGGATCAGTATTTTTAAATATCTCCAAGTAAATTTGATGTGCAGACAACTTTGAAAACCACTGGCCTAGAACCTGCCAGTCTATCGATTAGCATGTTTATGAAGCAAAGTGTTATTCTGGTATTTACACTACCAGGAGCCAACCTTACAGGGACAGGCCAAACTTTAAAAAATTCTGTGGTGTTGTTTCCCAACCTTAAAATATTACATAGAGTAGCTCTGGAAGAGTATTGTAGGGAAGATATAAGATAATAGTTGTCATCTAAAGAGAAAATCTTCCAAAACCACTAGTAACCAGGCAACCATTCTTCAAAAATCTAGAGCCGGGCAATGGGTTTGGGGTCTCTTTAGGGGCTGACAAAAATGTTCTATAATTAGCATGTGGTGATGGTTGCATTGCTTCAGTATAAGTAGATATCCTAAAAAAAAAAAAAAAAATCACTGAAGTGTATACTTTAAATGGATGAATTGTATGGTATGTGAAGTATATCTCAATAAAGCTATTGTAAAAATCTAGAAATGAGAGAATCACATACCTGGCATAAAATGGTTACGTCAAGGATATGTAGGGTTAAGGCTTATGATGCTCCAATTTGTTTTGTTGTGAAATTTCAAATATAAGGGATTGAGACCTTTAGGTCTCAACTGAGGTCTAGTTCTTGGATATTAAAGGCATCAGTAAAAGGTCAGTTTATGGATATAGAGATGACAAACTGGTAGAAAAATTGTTTAAGATGTTAGAGAAAGAGGCTTTATTTCTTTCCAGACAGACCAAGGGTAGGAGTGGGAGGATCCTAGTACTACACATACTAGTTGTTTAGCTTTAGACAGGTCTCTTAACCTCTCTGAACTACAGTGTTCTCATCTATAAAATAAAAGTAATACCTCCTTTCAAAATTGTTGTGAGAGTGAAAAGTAATGCATATAAAGTGTCTGTACTCATCATAAAGTGCTCATATAAAGTCCAAGTATTCAATAAATATTTGTTGAACTAATTAATAATATCGATAATTCATCATTTATTGAGCATCCCACTGTAAAAGATGAAAAGACACAGTCTCTGTCATTATGGTACACAGAGTACCATAGGAGACAGACATGCAAAAATAAGAAACAATGGGAGCAAAGGAAAAGAAACACCTAAGCCAGCCTGGGGAAATCAGGAAGACTTCATAGAGGAGGTGATGCTTAAGCTGAGAACCGAAGATTGAGAAGTAGTTTATTAAATAAGAAAGGGGGGAAAAGAGCAGGGAGGGGACCTTGCAAGAAATTCCATGCAGAGCGATAATGATATTACATTATTGCTGAACCTTAAATTATTCGTAAAACAGTCTTTGGAAGAAATAAAGTGAAACAAGTTAGATCTTGAATTACCTTTAGGCCTAGTCAAGGAGTTTTTATTTTATTCTGTATAGATGATAGTCATTGCAGAATTTTTAAACTGACATATGTATGATGTCATCAGGGTTTTTTGTTTGTTCGTTTGTTTTAGAGAGATTTTTCTGATAGTGACCATAATCTGAGATGGATTAGGGATATTGAGACTGGAGACAAAGAAACAGTTAGAAGATTATTACAATATTTAAGGAAAAGATTGATAAATGCTTGAATCACCACAGTGGCAGTATTGATGGAGAGGGATGACTATAGTAAAATCATCAGGACTTGTTGATTGACCTGATATAGGTAGTCAGAAAGAGGAATGAGCCAAGGAATACCCTACTCTCCCTCATTCTGACTGAGGCAGCTGGGTGGATGATGGTCTCATTCACTGAAGTGAAACCTGTAATAAACACCTAGTAAGTCAGACTGATTTATACCTCCATCATTCCCATGGGAGGAGGTTTAGGTGTTTTGTTTTTTGTTTTTGTTTTTTTTTTTTTTTGCAAAAACGAAAATAAAACAACAACAATAACAACAACAACAACAACAACAACAACAGAAAGCAGATCCCTCCTTTTGAGACCAAAAGGTTGTTTGCTGGCCTCACCATAGTCAAAAGGATATTCCTAAGGGTCAAGGGTTTGGAAAAAATCTAGGGAGGATAAGGAACCCAGGTTTTGCTCCTGTTTGGGGCATCCGGTGGTAACCCAGGTGAGGATTGGGATGAGTTAAGAAATCTCATGTCTAGATCAGGCTAGATTTTTCTCTTTGTGCTGTGGTGTGTTTGCCACTCAGATTACGGTTTGCAGGTTTACAGTGTGAAATGAGCTGTGTTTCTACATTTGTGCAAGGTGGTAGCCAGGCTCTTGGGAGGGTCTGGATCAGGGTGGATGTGGAGTGAGATCAAATCTCCAGCTCCAAGAGGCCCCCTGGGGCTAAGTGAAAAGCTTGCTCTTTCGAAACAGTCTCTGTTGGTAATTAACAACATATCAAGCATACCATGGTGTCAAATAAAAGGGATTTGTAGGCACAGTGCTGTTGGTTGCCGATCTCAATCATTCACGGGAGCTATTAAATCTGTGAACGTTAGCATTCTGACTGTTAATGAGATCTAGTCCTTAGCGCCTCCCAGACACAGCTGATTCTTTACTGATTTGGAACATCTCCCTCTCCCGACTTTCTCCACTCTGCTTCATCCCCTTCCATACTGTCCTTGAAATCAATGAATGGTAATTTAGTATATCACTAGCGAGCTTCTGAATAAAAAAGGTTTGGTTTCCGCTGTGCCTCCTGTTACAACAAAAACGTGTACTGCATAAATTTAATTGGCTACATTAATATGTAAGCCTTTTCTGCAAAGAGAAGGATATGTTTCTGAATACTCTGCAGAGGAGCAGAGTTTTGTGTATATGGCAGTGCTTCTAATTAGCTCCTACTCTAATACAAATGGATTGGGGGAGAAGCTACTCATTTAGAATATTGGTAGATAACAACGCTGGCTTGAACAAAGTGGCCAACCTCAAATGGCTACTCCTCTCTGGGCTGCAGGTTGCTAGGGCTCTGGCTGTCGCGGTTCCTCCCCCCACCCCAACCCCTGCCGAAAAGGGGCGGGGAAAGTTGATGTGTTAGAGAGAAAAAAAAACATACATATATGTTGTCTGCCTCTCCATAGAGGTAGTAACCTGTGGGAAAAAATGCTGTTGAGCGGGAGGAAAGCAAAAAGATAGGTGGGGTTTTTATTTTTCTTTTTTTCTTTCTTTCTTTCTTTCTTTTTTTTTTTTTTTTTTTCCTTTTTTTCTTCCAATGCTGCGACGCATTAACCCTGCTGCTATTGGGATGTTCTCTGCTCAGCCTATTGGCTGAGCCCAGGAGCCGCTGTCTGCCAATCCGGTGGTGGAAGGCAGACAAATCTACCCCGCCACCAGCAAAAACGGCGCGTAACCCTTGCAGCGCCAGCCCAGCCGCGCCAGAGCTGGCGCGGGGAAAGGCAGATAGGTGTTTCCAGCTGCTGTGTGGCCGTTTGGGGCGGGTCGGCTTCTTCTGCTTCTCAGGACCAGGTAGAGAACTAGCGGGAGGCAGCAATGCTCCGCAAGGTGAGGAGCTGGGTAGAAATCTGCCCCGGGGCTGCCCTTTTGTTCCTCTTTTGCCACCTGGGTTACGTTTGTGGGCAGATCCGCTACCCGGTCCCAGAGGAGTCACAGGAAGGGACTTTTGTGGGGAATGTCGCCCAAGATTTCCTGCTGGATACAGAGAGTCTATCAGCTCGCAGGCTGCAGGTCGCTGGAGAGGTGAACCAAAGACACTTCCGTGTGGATTTGGACAGCGGAGCCCTGCTCATCAAGAATCCAATCGATCGAGAGGCACTGTGTGGGCTCAGTGCCAGCTGCATCGTGCCCCTGGAGTTTGTAACCGAAGGGCCTTTGGAAATGTACCGAGCTGAGGTAGAAATTGTGGATGTGAACGATCACGCCCCCCGATTTCCTCGGCAGCAGCTGGACTTGGAAATTGGGGAGGCAGCTCCTCCAGGACAGCGTTTTCCCTTGGAAAAGGCTCAGGATGCAGATGTGGGGAGCAACTCCATCAGCAGCTATAGACTAAGCTCCAACGAACACTTTGCACTGGATGTCAAGAAGCGCAGCGACGGCAGTCTGGTCCCAGAGCTGCTCCTGGAGAAGCCTTTGGATCGGGAGAAGCAATCAGACTACCGCCTGGTGCTGACTGCTGTGGATGGAGGTAACCCCCCAAGATCTGGCACTGCAGAGCTCCGGGTATCAGTACTGGACGTGAACGACAACGCCCCTGCCTTCCAGCAATCCAGCTACAGGATTAGTGTATTGGAGAGCGCGCCAGCCGGCATGCTGCTCATCCAGCTCAATGCCTCTGACCCGGACCTGGGTCCCAGTGGTAACGTCACCTTTTCTTTCAGTGGTCACACCCCTGATCGTGTGAGAAACCTCTTTAGCCTGCACCCCACTACTGGAAAGCTTACTCTTCAGGGGCCCCTAGACTTTGAGAACGAGAATTACTATGAATTTGATGTTCGGGCTCGGGATGGGGGTTCTCCAGCCATGGAGCAACATTGCAGCCTTCGAGTGGATCTCCTGGATGTAAATGACAATGCCCCCCACATCACAGTGACCTCGGAGCTTGGAACTCTCCCAGAGAGTGCAGAACCCGGCACTGTGGTGGCACTCATCAGTGTGCAGGACCCTGACTCAGGGTCAAACGGAGATGTGAGCCTCCGTATTCCTGACCACTTGCCATTTGCCCTCAAGTCTGCCTTCAGAAACCAGTTCTCCCTGGTGACTGCTGGGCCCTTGGACAGAGAGGCCAAATCTAGCTATGACATCATGGTCACTGCTTCTGATGCTGGAAATCCTCCTCTGAGTACTCAGAGGACTATTTTCCTCAATATTTCAGATGTGAACGATAACCCACCCTCTTTCTTCCAGAGGTCACATGAGGTGTTTGTTCCTGAGAACAATCGCCCAGGGGATCTGCTTTGTTCCCTTGCAGCCTCTGACCCAGACTCTGGCTTGAATGCGCTCATCTCCTACTCTCTCCTAGAGCCCAGAAATCGAGATGTGTCAGCTTCCTCCTTCATCTCTCTGAACCCCCAGACGGGAGCTGTTCACGCTACTCGGTCCTTTGACTATGAACAAACACAGACACTGCAGTTTGAGGTGCAGGCCCGGGATCGGGGCAACCCACCCCTCAGTAGCACCGTGACAGTTCGTCTCTTCGTGCTGGACCTCAATGACAATGCTCCAGCGGTGCTCCGCCCTAGGGCCCGGCCCGGTTCCTTATGTCCCCAAGCACTGCCTCCATCAGTTGGTGCCGGTCACCTAGTCACAAAGGTGACCGCTGTGGACTTGGATTCAGGTTACAATGCTTGGGTTTCATATCAGCTCCTGGAGGCCCCAGATCCCAGCTTGTTTGCAGTCTCCCGCTATGCTGGGGAGGTACGGACAGCCGTTCCCATCCCAGCTGATCTTCCCCCACAGAAGCTGGTCATTGTGGTAAAGGATAGTGGTACCCCACCGCTCTCTACTTCTGTTACTCTCCTTGTGTCCTTGGAGGAAGATGCTCATCCAGTTGTCCCTGATCTTCGAGAATCTTCAGCTCCAAGGGAAGGAGAATCCCGCCTGACCCTCTACTTGGCTGTATCACTAGTGGCAATTTGCTTTGTCTCCTTTGGCTCATTTGTGGCACTACTCTCTAAGTGTCTGCGTGGGGCTGCCTGTGGAGTGACCTGCTTTCCTGCTGGCACCTGTGCCTGTCTCACCCGATCTCGAAGGAGGGAGGGGCTTCCTCCTTCCAATGGGATCCTCCGAATCCAGCTAGGGTCAGATGATCCTATCAAGTTTGTTGATGTGGGTGGTCATTCTCATGGCTGTACACCCTTGGCTTCTGCACCCACTCGGAGCGATAGCTTCATGATGGTGAAGTCGCCCAGTGCACCTATGGCAGGGGAGCCTGTTCGCCCAAGCTGCCCACCCTCTGATCTTCTCTATGGGCTAGAGGTGAGACCTTTGCAGGCTCAGCCAATGTTTGAGGGTTATTCTGGTCCAGGCATATGGCCAGGCTATGTCCCAGAGAGAATAGGCCTCTCTGTAAGAGCCCGTAGTGATGTCATCATTTTCGTGAGTGGTAACTATGTGGTAGATGCTGTGCTTTAGAAGTGTTTTGTGAATGAACCAGGGAGTTGTCACAGACTAGTACTTGGGTTTGGGTTATGCCCTTATCTGAGAGTAAGAAATGAAATTGAGCGGTCAAGAGCTAGAGTATTGTGGAAGCATGCTGCCAGGATGTGGGGCATAGAAGGCTATAGTGCACTAGGGTAGAGTGCACCGTATAGTCACCTAAACCTAGCTGGCTGCTTTCTCTACTCTTCCTGAAGGAGCGGGGCCAGGTTCTGGACTACTTGAACTTTAGGTTACCATTTCCCAGTGGATTGAGGGAAACAAACATCTCTGCCTCACAGTATCAAGCACTCCCTAACCCACTGTGAAGGGAACTCTCTGCTTGAAACACAGAAGACAGTACAAAGAGGAGAGAGCTAAGGGAGTGGAGAGGCATCAAGGTGGAAGCAGAGGTCTGTTAGTCCAGGTCTTTAGGACTCCCAATCGAGCCCCCACTGGGATTTGAGCTAGATGCAGTGGATCGGGGGCAGGGGGAAAAAAGCAATAAGTGAAATCACTTAATGTCAGAAAGCTGGTTTACAGATGAGGAATTCATAGAGATAGCTACTCTGGGAGTCTCTAAGTAGATTTCTTTTGAACTGGTGAAACCATAAAGCCTAGAGGCCATGCTTAGCTGTCAGTCACCCTCCTGGGTGACCTGGATCACTCCCAGAAGTGTTCCCCCTTACACAAGCTGTGAGGCTTATTCCACAGCTCAAGTCTGGGATCTCAAGAAAGCTGCATCAGCTGACACGGAGATTCCTCAAAGCACTGCTGGAAAGTCGGCAAGGTTCTATAAGGTCTTAACAAAACTCTTCTCTCATCTCAGCAGCATTTGTCAGGATAGGGGTGGGAGGGGGAACACATAGCCTTTGCCACCCCCAGAAGGACAAACTTTTGTTCGTTCAAGCGAAGTAGTGGAAGCTTCTGAAGTCACGCGGGAAGTTGCTGGGAGAGAACACTGAGAAGTTTTGTACCACTTTGTCTTCCCTGTGAGCACCATCTGAGCTGTCAAATTTTGCTGCCAAGGGGGCTGTATCAACCTGCAGCACGAAATGAGTGGGGAGGTAGGAGGCTTCTGTGACACAAATTTGCAGCGGCTGTTCCTAAGGTTTCCAGGACTGAGGAGACTTCATAATTGGTTGAGAGCAGACAGACTTTTTGGCCAATCAGACTCAGAGCCGAGGTGGGGGATCCGCTCATCCTGCCCGCCTCTCCTCCCCCAGCCCCCCCGCTCCCCTCCGATCCCATTCCACTCCCCTCCCCCA